CCTACCAGCCGTGGCAGAATTGAGTGCTAAGAGAGCAGAAGAGCTGCAAAAACCAAATGGCAAACAAGGAGAAACTGGTAGCATTTGAAACTATAGCTAATTCCATAGGGGACTGCAAATTCCTGGAAACAACTATTCTGCTTCCACTATGGCAAAATATATAACTCTGTTGAGATTAATCCCTGGCCCTATGAGTCTTCCCTACCAGCCGTGGCAGAATTGAGTGCTAAGAGAGCAGAAGAGCTGCAAAAACCAAATGGCAAACAAGGAGAAACTGGTAGCATTTGAAACTATAGCTAATTCCATAGGGGACTGCAAATTCCTGGAAACAACTATTCTGCTTCCACTATGGCAAAATATATAACTCTGTTGAGATTAATCCCTGGCCCTATGAGTCTTCCCGTAGTTTTTTTTTTTTTTTTTTTTTTTACAATATCATTGTCACTAGGTAAGGGTTTCTGTTAATATGTCTTAGCCACTGCTGAGACAAAGGAACACCACAAAGTTGCAAACATTAGGCAGTAGGAAATCTGTATCCTCCTCCATCTTTTCAGCCACTCTACTTAATTGTCTTATGCTTTTATTTTTCTTGGAAAGTATCAGGTCACTTGCAGAACACCCTGTCCCAGCTACCATAATCAGTGTATTTTTATATTGTTTCCTGTGTTTTTTCCCCACTCCACTTTTTAAAAAAAGAAAAGCAGAAATCCCTCTATGTGCAGTCATAACAAGCCAATCCCACATGCTTTGTTAAAAAGTTGTTCAACACAGGACTTGCATATCCATACCACAGACTTGTGCCATATAAATGGTGCGAGTAACTGGTAGAAGTAGTGGTTCTATACATGGAACATACTGTGGCAGGGTGTTGCCCTGCCCTGGCCCTTTAGGGGCCAAGGAGCTGAAGGGAGGAGAGCTCAGCTGTAGGCAATTAGAGAGCTCAGCTGAGCCCATAAGGAGGGCCCAGCTGAGCACTATAAGAACAGCTCCTGGGAGGAGCAAGAGGTACCTGCCTACTGCTCTGGAGGAGAGGGCAGTTAAGACCTGATGGCCAGGGAAGAAGGAGGCGGCTCCCTGGAGGGGTCAGGACTGGGTTGGCTCAGGCAGGAGGAACCCAGGCTACACAGCCTGAGGCCCAGTGCTGAATAGGAGGCAGTCATGAAGGGCCAGGACGAGCAATGGAGGCAGCCCTAATGGGCCGGGCTGCATAGGAGACAGCCACAACTAGCAAGGAGGCAGCTGCGGTAGTCAGGGGGAGGCTGAGCCAAGGAAGCCCCAGCCCATAAGTCCAGGAGGCAACCGGGCAGGCAGAGTAGGGGCCTAGAAATCCTGTGGCCTGCCCAGAGGGGCTGTTAAGGGGCTAGCAGGGGGCCTGAGGCCAGGACAGCGTGAGGGGAGTTAGGAGTCCCCAAGGAGGAAAAACTGGGGGTCCCCGAGGGTCAGGAGGACTCTAGAGGAGAAGTGGACCATAACAACATGGACTATCCTTCCCCCGGGGGGGGGGGGGGAGGGGGGTGCGGAGCAACCGAGGAGTGGTCACTGTCAGAGGGCAGTGCCCTAAAGCTACCACCACACCCAAACAGGGCGCGTCTGAGCAGCCAGCTACTTTCCCCAACCAGACACCCTGGGGAGAAGAGCCGGGCAAAAAAGAAAAAAAAGTGAGTGAAACTGCTACAATACTTTGCCAATATGTTACAAAACCATTCCTGGACACTAATAGAGTATTGAGAAATCTTGGTCCCCCTGTTCTGTTCATAGGACACAGAGGAGAATATTGTTTATGGGTATGACCAACGTGGAGAGCCAATTACATGGATTTTGTGTTTTCACTGTGCTGAAATGGAGAAGACTTATTTCTGCCATATTGGTGATGCAGAAGTGAGCTTGTGCAACCTATTCATTAAACCATATGTAAAATAGGAGGTTTTATGCTAGCCCTGATTTACAAGCCAGGCAGATGCCTTGCTGAATGATAGGGTTTTGTAATGTAGCGAAATACTAACACAAGTTAGTAGAGATGTGACTTGAGCTTGTGGCTTCCTGTCTCCCAAACTGAGTACACCCTTCCTGGAGTAAAGTGCATACACTACTGTTTGCTGTGTTTGTTCCCCCTTGCTCCTGGGGAGCACTGCTCAAGCTGTGCAGCGGGAAAGAATGAGTTGAGTTCAATAAAATAGCAATATAATTAACTTTGATTAGTCCTTATTCTCTTTCATTTTATATTCATTCTACCTATCTTAGCTTGATTATCCTCAGTCTATTCATTCAATATAAAATATATTGACTGTATTTGGTAAGACTAGGAGCATTAGATTAAATCATTTATAATATGTGGACAGCTAGTTCAGTTTGAGGGCAGATAGCCAGTCTCTTAAAGCGTAATATTAGATTCTTGTGTCTCATACTGTTATAACACGATTAGTTTTATATATTAGAGTGCATCAGTCTGTCTGTGCATCTCTTTAAGAACATTAGAATGTCCATACTGGGTCACACCAAAGGTCCATCTAGCCCAGTAGCCTGTCTTCTGACAGTGACCAGTGCTAGATGCACCAGAGGGAGTGAACAGAAATAGGTAATCATCGAGTGATCAGTCTCCTGTCATCCATTTCCAGCCCCTGACAAACAGGAGTTAGCACACCATTCCTACCCATTCTGGCTAATAAGTATGGACAGACCTAACCTCCATGAATTTATCTAGTTCTTCTTTGAACCCTGTTAAAGTCCTGGTCTTCATAACCAGGGCTCGACAAATAATGTAATCTACTTGCCCGTGGCAAGTAGATTACAACCCGAAAGAGCCAGCGCAGAGTGCAGAACCACGCTGCTGGCGAGTGGGGCTCGCCATCGCTTGGTGAGCCCTGTTCATAACATCAGGAGATGTTTATCCATTTGTTCAAGAGCTCCTCCTAAACCGTAAGAGCTAGGACCTCCACATTTGGTATGTAGCTTCCTCTTGCCTGGTTTAAATTAGGGGTCAGGGTTTGGTTGTCTGGAAAACGTGAAGGGCTGGGAATGGGAGTGTTTTCGATCACATGGAAAGGGAGGGTGCAGAGGAGAGGGATGCAACGCTGAGTGTGGCTAATGGGAGCAGATGCAGCCCAAAGAAAGTGGCCAGCGGGGTTGGGGCTCTGCCATCTTGCCTGCATCCACACCGGATAATGATTCCCCCTTTCCCAAATCCAGAGCCTGCCCCTCCACAGAGAGCCTGTAGGATGTGTATTGGGGACCCACTGGAGGGGGGACAACCCCCAGAACCTTGCCCCTCTCTGAACAGTCTACAGGACATTGGGAGATCTGCCAGAGCAGGGTACAACCCCATGAGCCTTGCTCCCCACTTCAGACAACCTGCAGGGGGTGGGGGGAGAGAAGGGAAGGAGGGCCACTAGAGGTCAGGGCAGCTTCCCAAGCCTATCCTCAGAGGCCAAGGAGAATGAGTTTTCTCCCTCCTCCTTGTGACACCGGGTTAGATACCAGAAAACCGCTATCATGTCCCCCCTCAGTCTTCTACTTTCCAAACTAAACAAACCCAATTATTTCAGTCTTTCCTCAGAGGTCATGTTTTTTGCAAATTTTGATTAAGAATAATAAAACAAACCACCTCAAACACAAGGAGTCATTACAGGGGCTGAGGTATATCCCAAATAACTATGTTTGGGTATGTCTACACTACCACCCTAGTTCGAACTAGGGTGGTAATGTAGGCAATCGGAGTTGCAAATGAAGCCCGGGATTTGACTTTCCTGGGCTTCATTTGCATCTCGCCGGGCGCCGCCATTTTAGCTTGTGCTCCACTATTACCTCTAGATCCCTTTCTGCAGTACTCCTTCCTAGATAGTCGCTTCCCATTCTGTATATGTGGGACTAATTTTTTCTTCCTAAGTGGAGTACTTTGCATTTGTCCTTATTAAACTTCATCCTATTTACCTCAGACCATTTCTCCAGTTTGTCCAGATCATTTTGAATTATGACCCTCTCCTCCAAAGCAGCTACAACCCCTCCCAGCTTGGTATCATCTGCAAACTTAATAAGTGTACTCTCTAAGCCATCATCTAAATTGTTGTTGAAGATATTGAACAGAACCAGTCCCAAAACAGACCCTAGCAGAACCCCTCGTTATGCCCTTCCAGCATGATTGTGAACTGTTAATAACTACTCTCTGAGAATGGTTATCCAGCCAGTTATGCACCCACCTTACAGTAGCCCCATCTAGGTTGTATTTAGCTAGTTTATTGATAAGGTGATTATGTGAGACCGTTATCAAATGCCTTACTGAAGTGTAGGTATAACGTCCACCACTTCTCCCTTATCCGCAAGGCTTGATATCCTATCAAAGAAAGC